ATTTATTTATTTATTTATTTATTTATTTATTTATTTATTTATTTATTTGACTTGTCCCCGCCCATCTCCCCCGCAATATTTACTAGTGGAGGATAAATGCTTTTGTTCCTCAAACAGATTGGGTAGTTTGGGGCTGGTTTTGCAAGTAAACTAATGTTTTGCCCCTTATATTTTTGGACGCTACAGTTCTCTTTCTGTATACTCTATTTTGTGCCTGTGGATACATTCTGAAACGAATATATGGAGTTTAAAAAATTACTGTATTTGCAAGCTGCAGTGGAAAGATTTATTTTTATGTCACCCTGGGAGCATTCATATTGCAGGGTGGCCAAGAAAGGTTTAAAATTAAAATGCAAATGTGGCGTATTTTTCTGCGCATAAGCCATATCCTCACCTTGTTTCATTTTAAGTCAGAATGACTGCAGTCGCCTACGTAAAGCTGTAGAACACACAATGGGCTGTGGATAAAACTCTGCAAACAATGTGTTCTTTCTTGCAGTTGGTTTTTCAAAGCCCTCAGCAGGAAGGATGCTGAGCGCCGGCTTCTCACTGCTGGTAACACACACGGTGCTTTCCTCGTTCGCGAGAGCGAATCCACCAAAGGTAACTTGTTTAGATGAGGATCTGATTTGGTGTGTGGAAGACGGGAGTCATCATCCCTCTCTCTTAGGACAGTGACAAAGAGATTGGAGAGGGAGACTTAAAAGCAAGTTTGGAGAAGGTTTCTTGTGTACCTGAAATCCCACCAACCCCTTGGTCAAAGGACCTGGGACTCCCTACACCAGAACAAACCCCCACTTTTCTCAAGAAGATCATTAATTCCTTTACTGGCATTCTGTTATTCTTTTGATCCTTGATGGAAAGTTCCACTTACCTTTTAATGACTTACCTTGTGTCCCACCTAACTTCTTCTGTGTCCCACGGGTGGCACACGGTTGAGATCCACCCCCTTCAGTGCTTCAAGGGCTTCCAGGCATGCCTGTTGTTGCACCGTGGCTCTGCTTTCTTCGCCATCCTGCTGTCCCCCTTCCATTCTTTCCTAAGGGGGAGAAAAAGTGGGAGGAGAGATGGCATAGCTGCATGATGCTTTTGGCTGACAGCGTTGCAACCTTCTTCCGGGAAGCACCTGGAGCCAAGGCTGGCCCTACCGTTAGGCAGAGGGAAGCTGCTGGCGGGAGCAGCGATGAGATGGTTACTTTGGTTTATTCGAAATATTAGTATCCTGTTTTTTTGCCACAAGAAAGCAAAGCAACTGACGTAAAGAAATGAATCAGTTTAGGAAGACAGATGTGTGCTAGCCAGCTGTTGCCTTCAGGGGCATCAGAGAAAGCTGCCCCCCTTTGCCCTTGCAGATGGAAGATTCAGCTGCTGCTTCGCTTCGCTTTCTGATATGGAAGCCGGGAAGGAGCCTCACCTTGTGGTTCAGCTCAGGCTCCAAAATGCCTGGCAGGTTCTTCACTCTTTGTGGAAGGACCCTGCTTTGGGTGGTTTTTAACGATAAATATACAAGTTAGAACTTGTGTGAATAGGCAGACACACACGCATGAATCGTCTGTTCATGGAACCAAAATGCATCTCTGGATGTAAATCACAAGCAGAGAGCAAACAACTCCTTGGAGCAGGGTTTCTCAGCCTTGGCAACTTTAAGACGTGTGGACTTCAACTCCCAGAATTCCCCAGCCAG